CAGTTCACGATGTCAGCCTCTCGAACTTGTTCGTCATGCTTAGGAGATTGGTTTCAGAGATGGGCGACATGCGATAGCTGGCTGAGTCTTATTCCTTAGGGATGCTGGTTTCATCATTGCCCTTGTTTTCGGGCTGCGTAGCGCGTGCCTGTACGTCAAGAGACAGTATGTGTTTGGCGAATTGTTTGTAATCTGGAATTCAAGGAAGATCCCGAATCATGCCTGGTGCAGACACCAGCTCTGACTGGGAAACATGTCAACATGCAGATGATTCTTCCGCCGTCAGAGTTCGGAATCTCAGGGCGGCGATTAGTTGATTAGTTCGTCTCGCCCGTGCTTGATGCAGCCTGAACGTTATCCTGAGGCGGTGGACGCCTTTGGTACCAAGCCATTGTGGCAGCTTGCAAAGAAAATGTGGCTTCGGCCTCCAGGACCTAATGATGTGAAATTGGGGGCGTGTCAGCTTCTCATGGTCTAAAGCTCGGGAGTCTAAAAGAGCTTACATTGCACTAGCCGGCTTTGTGGGCGTGCTCTTCCGCGTATTCCTGTGTATGCCTCTTGAGCTCTCACATAGCAAATATGAGGCCTTTTAGAGTTTGTTTGGGTGCGGAATGGTCCATCATCGCTCTAGATGCCCTGCAGTCAACCTTTGAGAAATCACGGCACATGCCGCAATCAGGTACGGCCTTTCCTCTGATGGATTGCGCTTTGCAGCAGCGTCGTACCGAAGCGCACTGAGACTCAGCTTCGGGGTCAGCAAAGTTGCCAGTAACAGGCTATTCTTCCATTCGATGTTCCGGGTATCAGCGGCCATAAGAAGACTATCGGCCATAGGAAGACTAAAGCTGTGGCATCAAGTAAATAATAGCCCGGCAGCCTTGGAACTGCTCATTGAGTTGTTGGGCGCAGGTTTCAAAGCTGTGAAGGTTTTGTGGGTAAGATGTTTGTATTGCTGGGTTTGAAACTGGGCCCCCTGGAAGCCCACACCCTATCTCAGGGCGAAGCTGGACTTGGCCGAAATACGCCGCCCGTCTGAAACGTGGCATTGCGAACACACTTGTCTTGGGCAGCTTGCGCCTGTACTTTGCGAGAGCCCTTGATTTTCGGTTGAAAGCCTAGCCTGCTTTTATCCTTCGGGAGCAGATGGAAGCCAGATGGCCGAAGTTCAGGGATATGGCACTAAGCCTAAGCGGTCAAAAAGGCTCAAGGATGAGGGATGTGGAGCCCATTCCCTGGATGAGGGCCTGTGCCGCCGAACTCCATCCTCGTCTTCGCCGCGCACAAGGCCTGAGTGTGGGGGGGCTTCTTAATAAATTAGCCGCAAACGACCTTTGAGCTGAGTAGCAACTTTTTGCAAAACTCTAGCCTCCTTTGCAGCGGGTCCTATATAGTATCTCAAATATCAGGAGACAGTTTTTCGAAGAATTGTCCCCACGACTTGTTGATGTATCGGGTGCCCCTCCATTCAAACGCTACAGCCCCCGAAAACAACATTCCGCAACCTCCAGACCACAACTGCGAAACCTAGAGAACTTGGAGCCCCACAGCCCGAAAACGAGAAGGCTCAGCCTGTGCAGCTCGTCAAGCAGTTTGCGCAGTTTGAGTTTGATCTCAGGCACGCTCTGCTTGTCCAGGAGTTTGGGTGGGGGGGACCGTTTTCGAGGGTGCAGGGTTTAGGGTCCAATTCGAGTGTCCCAGTTGGCAGGGAAGTATGGACTGGAGTGCGTGAACTCTTGCAGGTAACTCTAGAAGGAATAGTAGTAGTAGTAGTAGTCTTAGTCTTAGTCTTAGTCTTTTCAAGAGGTGTGCTAGCCGCTTGCGCATTGAAGAATCTCAACAACAGCTCATTTCGGCATGTACGCTTGATGGGGGCTGGAGTGTAGCAGGATATGGATTGCGTGCCATGGTCAAAAGGATGCAGGGCAACAGCCAACACTGCAACTTAGGCTCAAGCCTGTCATGTCTCCAGTTTGCAGAGAAGTAGGTCAGTGGCGTTTCATAAGAAGAGGAAGCATGATCAGCGGCGACAAGACTCTCTTTGTGTAAGGGCCGCAAACCAGTTTAAACACCATAGGGTTTCTTGGTGTGCAAGCATCCATCCATGTCGGCTGACTGGTGCCGCGGCTGCCGGTGCACTGGCTTGTTTGAAAATGCATGGCAGGAATGAGACCATGCGCTTGCCAGAAAGAATGGATGAAGACGACTTGACGCATGCATTCGCACCGTGTGTGACATGAACAGTCTCGCGAGCAAATCCTTTTTTACGTACTGATTTTGCCTCGCTCTTTCCCTGGCCCTGTCCTTTGTTTTGACGTTCTGTACTGATGAAGCCTTACTTGTGATGGCCTCCTCTCGCACATTGCAATGTGCCATGTGGTTCCTCTGCTGTGCCAGTCACTCAACAGTTGCCAGCCTTTGGGCTGCCGCTGGACATGCAGGCGCCATGTGGAGGATGACACCTTTTCACGTGGCTACTGCGGGGCGTGCTGGCAACAGTGGTCGGAGGCAGGGCTTCTGTTCGCCTCTAGCCGGCCATCACCCGCAGCGCTCGTTCCATCTGTAGAGCATCACGCAAGCAGAGATTTGTATGAAACATCAACTTTTGGTGCTGTCATCTTGGGCTATCGGCTGCCACAAGTACTATCCAATGGCACCATCGTAAGGTGGGCTAGGCGTATTCCTGCTTGTGCTCGAAGTATGCACCTTGCTACCACAAGCCTTGCATTACCACCAGTCGTGTCATGGGCTTGTGTGTTAATATGCTCATGCCACCATTACCATCAATAGTGTCAGCCTTATCGCCACTTCATAGGCTGGACTTGTTGTCTTTGGTGTCTTTCTTTTATTGCGTTGGTATAACGGTACAACTTCATGTTGGCGTCTCCAAGCCCGCAATACATTGCATTCCTCGTCATTAGGAACTTCCATGTCCAGCTTATCATCACTGTCATTCAGGTCCCAAGACTTCCCTCGCCCAGGCCCAGTCGGAGCCTGCGAGGCGACACACTGCAGGGGGCATCTTTCGTATCGACTCGGTGGCTGTTGGGGAGCTGCAGTTCTCCCAGGCCTTCCTCAATTCATGCTACAGCACAACAGAGTTGTAGGGTAGCCCTAGTTATGGGTGAAAGGTATAGTATAGTCCCAGGTTTGTTCAATTGCTCTTGCTGAGCAAGCACCTTCTGATAGTTTGAAATGTAGAGGTCGTAACGCTGAGAATGTGTTCGTGCTAACGCACTCAGGCATGTATTCACGCATGCATGTACGCCTGTATTCCTGATACATGGACATGGTGTGTGTTTGCATGCTTGTTGTTGGTGTGTACAACCATATGTCAATTATTAGGATCGCAAATACAATCCTTGATGGCCTCAAAGCTTCATGTCGTCAGTAGCAGGTACGAAGCTAGCCCAAACAGACATCGCGCAGCCCCGAAGACCCTCTGCAGCACAGACCGGTCTCAGTATAGAGCTTGCAAACAGATTCAAACAAGGATCTGCGGTTTTGAGCAGGATACAGATGCCCTCACACACATAACATCAACAGGGTTCAAAAGTGTAGTAGATAAGTCAGGCTCCTTGTAGGGAGTACTGTCAGAATTCAGGACTTTCATTTGCCCGCTGGATGACCCCTCCCAGGCTACCAAGCTTGACGGCAAATCCTTTGAACCTTAGAGCCTGCCCGCCAAGCCCGTCTGGTAGTGCCCCACAGAGGAGGACATGTACACCCAAATCTGAGAAAGGGGCACAGTATGATTGGGAAGTCCAAACGCAAGATTCCAACGGCGGCAGAATTCCGAACCAGAACTGGAAGGCCATTGAAACTCCATACATTCCAGTGTCCTACACGTTTGCAGGCGACAATCTCGGGCAGCTTTCGTGATGGCAGGAGCTTGGATGAGACGGTCACAATCCTACGCGAGAACTCGGACCTTGCGCCGCGGCAGAGCAACAGACTTCTGGGAATTCGGGGTTATATGTGAGAGCGTGGGGCTCAGGACTTACAATGGTAACCCCTAACTGAGGTACACAACTAAGATCCTTAAGAGCTTATTTCACCTTTTAGAGGGTGTTGATCACCCAGACTTCATGATCGATTTTGGGGGGCGGAATTCCTACATTGAATATTAACATTGTGCCAGCAGGAACTCGTAGTTTCACATTTTCTCATGAGGGTAAGGCATCGTCGCAGGTCTACAAGATCCCGTACATCAGCGTAGTCTGCGATGAGGGCAAGATGGTCTCCATGGACAACAGGCGGCTGTACACTTTTCGCATGGCCTTCAACGACGATCACAAGGTGGTGGAGTGAAGATCATAAACTGTTCTCATGTGGGCCTAAACTCCTTAAAGCGGGGTTATGCAGGGGATTATATAGACTTCTACAGGGGTTATTAATTAAGGGGGATAGTAGGAGTTTGGATTATAGCTCATGTCATCTGGCATGTACTGGGGCTTGCAGAGGGACGCTCCAGTATGCCAGCCACACACCTAAAACCGGCAACCCGAAACTTATAATTATAGCAACGTTGGATCCTGATAAGTGAGGCCACCCCCCAAAAAAACAAGGAACATGGACCAACCCAAAACACATTTGGGTCATAGCACTAAAGAAAAAATTCAATAGGACCAGACTTTCCGGACTTTGTAGCTCAGGTAAAAAGGCTTTGACTCAAAATCCGTATGCCCACCGCCAAAAATATTTTTAGGGCCGCGCAACTTCGCACAGTCAGCACCTCCTTTCGAATCGGAGGGTGATGAGTAATGCCGCCCAAACCTGTCACAATTCAGAACCCCCACCACGCTGATCGGGATTCGACTTTAATGAATCATCATAGCAAGAATGACAACCATCATATGAACAATGCACCCGGAATGAGCTATAGTCGAATCTCCCAGTATCCCCCAAAATAACCCTGATAGTAGTCCCCTATATAATCCCCTGTACGACCACTTTATAATGAGCTTAGACAATAAAATTCCAAATCTTCAAGAAATTGCCAGGTCCCAGTCAAGCTCTACGACAGCAAGGCAGCCTATGGTGCCCATGAGTTCTACAGGACTGCGTTGCTGTTGAGGAGTTTGGGTTGAGCTTCCATTGAAAGGACTCCCTTCTTTATTATTGCTATATAGGTTCATATTGTGGTAACGCAACGCAAAACCACTTATAACCCCAGCTTCTATTTAGCTATTCATTTCTTTTCCGGTTGACTCTCAATTAATTATGGTAACTTAGGCCCCAGACCCTACAATCTAAACCTTGGATCGGCAAACCAAACCTTAAACCCTCAACCCCAAACCCTGTAAGCCTCATAAACCCTGACTTTCGGTTCTCTAACCGTGTATCATAGTGTAACAATAGTACAATATAGTATTTTATAGTATAGTATTTTATAGCGTATCATCAGCAACCCGGAGGAAGGCGACCTCGATTTGCGGAGGGCACTTGGTGGACGTCCGAGACGAAGGCGATGCTGTGAAGGACGGCCTCGCGAATGAGCGGGGTTCCCAAAATTAGGGTCCCTTTAAAGCGATTATAGGGGCGCGCTCCGCGTTCTCAGCCACCCCCCCCCCCCCCCCCCCCCGGTATGGTCCCCATCTGGGAAAAGCCATATGTCTAACCTGCAGAACCATGAACTCTCCGTAAAGCCTCATTGTATAAACCCTCAGCACAGGACCCAGACCACAGGACCACAGGGGGTACCTTCATAAGCTTCCACTGAAGACTGTACGAAATCTTCAAACCCATAAACCGTCTACGAACCCTCCAGAAAACTCTTAAACCTTTTGCAAGCCGTCTACAAAAGCTATAACTCCCGGTAAGCCTTCTATTAAGATTTATACAAAACCTTTCTAAGCCCTCTTGAAACAATCTATCTGTATAAGAAATGTAGAAAACCCTATCAAGCCTGCAGAAAGCCTTTAGAGACCCCTTCAGAAAATCTCTTGAGACCTCTAACACTTGCTATTGAATTAATGAACCAGGTGCAAGCCTTCTTAACACCGCATAGAACCCCTTTATAAACACTATAAGCTTCTATAAGCTTGATCTAAACCTCTCAAACAAGCCACCAAACCAAGACCATAGGACCACGGGGGGGGGGGGCGGGTAACCGCATAGAACCCTTTATAAACACTATAAGCTTGTATAAATCTGCAAACCCAGAACACAGGACCACAGGGGGGAATGGGTAGGTTCATCATACTCTATATCATGGACATCATGGACCATACACTGGGGGGGAGGGGGGGCCGTGAATGCTGACGCATATATCGGGACATTATAGGGGTGTATAGGGTAGGGTTTAGGCAGTTTAGGGTTTCCCAGAATTAGGGTCCCATTTTGGTACCCCTAGAGATTAGGTGTCGTATTGTAAATATAACCACACGGGGCCCATAATTTTGAGAACAACCCATGAGCTGTAATAATCTTATTGGTTCTTCAGCAGGGAATGAGTGAATATATTCCCTATATAACACCTTTTATAATAGGCATTTAATAGGGAAGAATTAAGGGAATATATCAGGCTATAGAGGGATCATCCTCGCATATGAGTTGTTGTTACAGCGCTAGCAACTGCCGATAGTAACAATAGTGGCAATAGTAATGATAGGAATATTGGAAACAACAATAGCTAGAAGAATACTCGTAATTATTTCACAAAGGGAGTATGTGTCCTTGTTCCCTACTGAGAACCAGTGAGTAATAGTACTAGCAATTCTGGTAATTGTATTAATTAATATGAGTGAATAGTGGTTAGTCGTAATACTTGTGACAGTAGTAATGATAAGAATGTTGGAAGTATGAAGCGGCCACGATCATAATTGTAGAAGTACTTGGTAATAAATCATAACTTGGTTTGGACGGAGTGTGGGGCTTCTCCGGCGGCTTGCGAGTAACTTCAACATCCCTGCTGGCAAGGAATCCTGGGATTTGCCGCAGAACGCCAGGAACCTGGTCTTGCGGGGCTGGCAAGAGGCCGGAACAAGCCAGCCCCCTATGACGTTTCCTTAAATACAAAAGCCCTTTATAACCTTGGTACCGGATCTTGATCCTCCTGCTGGAACCCTGAACCTTCAACTTACAGATCCAAGCCAAGAATTCTAAACCCTATGCACCTTAGTTGCCCACAGACTTTACTGGAACGAGCCTGCTATGCCGTCCCAGGCATGCAAGCAGCAAAAGACATCTTATGCAAAGCGGGAGCGAAAGACTTTTGAAAAGGCGAAAACGACCCTAAACCCTTAATAGTAGTTTCCATGTTCTTTTCCATTAACCCTACATGACCCTATATTATCCTATATTATCCCATTATGGAATCCTAAACCCTATATTGCCCTATATAACCCCTATAAACCCTGGGACTTGATCAAACTGTAAACTTGGAACACTAAACTCTACAGGTAAAGGTTTGCACTGGTGCTCGACTGATGATCCTCGAAAACAAGGTGCCTCTGCAGAAGAGGATGGAGAGTTTTGCGGGGATGCTACTCATGTTCAGTCCAGGGGTTAGGATTACCAGGCTGACGACGACTTTGCATTTCTTGCTTATCTTGCACCCGTTGTAGTAACTCAGGTATCCTTGATGTGTTTGCAGTCCTGTTAAAGGGGATGGAGCCAACACGTCGTACCCCAAAAGCTATCCAACCCTGGCATGCGACCTGGAAAGTCTCGAAGAAGGTTTGAAACGTTAGCCTCGTCCTTAAACCCTTGCCTTAGAGGCTGGTAGACAGATGCTGGAAGCCATCGGGGGGGATTGCATTACCGGAGAGCACGGTCCAAAAAGAGTCCCCATCCCTAGCCCCGAATAACAGCTTGTGAAAACCTGAGGTGGTAGTTTCGGGCAGCCGGCGACAGGCGGGCCACACGAGGGCAAACAACATCATGGTTTGCCATTGCAGCTTGCGTATATTGCTTACCAGTATAATAATTCACTCAGTAATCGTAGAACCTATTGTCACTCGTATCATTCCTGAACAATGTCCCGCGTAGGTTGTCGCGGGGTCTAGAGTCTGAAGCCTTTCTGTTTTTTGTAGTGTCTATCTTCGAGATGAACTGATCAGGTAGAGGAGGGCATTCGGCACGTGCAAAGGCCGGGCGCCCGTTTTTGCAGAAAGATTTGCTAGCGGCACAACACACCCCTCAGACTCAAAGCTGGATCGCGACTACACTGCCTCACCATGGATCCTCAATTTCCCAGCACACGATCCTTAGTGGTTTAGCTGACCGTTCAAGACCGCAGGATTCTGAACACCTACGACTCCTGCACGGTGATGCTCTATGACCACAGGGCTAAGGCAGGTTTTGATATGCATAAGGGGGATGTGTCGTGTACCCATTCGCCTGTGCATGTATAGCCAATTTGTTTAGGTTGTTTTGATCACGAATCATGTCAACTTCATACTGACACTCAAACACGCAACTGCCCGCAGGGTGCATGCAAAAAGGGCGCCGCTCAAAAATCCTATCTAGCAGCTCTCAACATGAGCCAATGGAACTGGAAATGGAACACGCAAAGGACAACCGACAGAGTCCGCGAAAGGTGTAACTTTTCACAATGCAGGCCGCTAAGCAAAGTTGCTTGCTGGAAATTGCAATGCTTAATGGAACCGGATACGTTTTGCGCTTCGGTCAACCAGGAAATTCGGGGCGTAAGTTACGTAAGGTGTTTGCGAAAGGGCCACGTCAGCGCCATTATGCCATGTCCAAAAAAGGCAATATTGAACTAGCCCTATTCGTGCATATACATGTGTGTAATATATATATGTGTGTATATGCACATATGAGTAGTATTTTATTTGGGGATAGTATGGTAACCAATATAGAGTAAGATTATATCCTCCTTTTGGGTATAGTATTTTATATAAGGAATATTATCTTACTAGGTTCAACCACCAAAAAAAACACTACTCATATGTGTACGCGCGTGTGTGTGTGTGTGTGTGCGCGCGCGTGTGCGCGCGAGTGTGTGTGTGTGTGTATATGTGTCCTTGAGGCAGTTTTGCAAGCATGGGTGTTGTCATCAATGGGGTCCCCTATCTACCCCAAAACTTAAGGTCCTTCTTATGCCATCGCAAACATGAGGCCCCAAATTCCTGGAATGACAGTTTGGCCAGGAGACTGTCAAGCACGGCAGATCAGAGTTGAGCCCAAAGCATCCTACCGTCTTTTTCAAGCTTGGGGCTCAGGCTTTGGGGCAATTTTGGTTGGGGAGTTCTGTGGGTCCGAAGATGCAGTTGTCAAGTTATTGGGCAAAATTGCATTCCAGACCAGAAGTTGGAGGCTCTACGATGTTCTGGTGTATAAGGGAGGGTCCCAGCTTCGAAAATGCAAAAGCCTTGATGGCACGCAAGCAGAAAAAGGAGCCACAGTAGCATTCATGGCAAGATGCATACACACGTGTGCAGTTGCAATGTGGGTAATTCCACAGGAGCAGCTGTGATCCGTTTACTGGTAGAGCTTTGGACTGTCCGTAACGTTGAACCTGAGCATACTCTAAGATGTTGTTAATATCAGAACCCAGACAAGCATGTAGCACCTTCAGAGAGCAGATGACCAAGATCCTTACGTTCTCTTGCGACTGACATTTCAATGGCACGATGGTTCTCATCCCTCCTTTGTTGTATTCTTATGTTTACTACAGTTGTTGTCGTTTCTGTTCTCACGAGCATCATAGTCATGAGTCTCTGAGGTTTGACCAGTCGGAGGCAGGCGAGCCGATAGTCCACGTCGGCGGCGAGCATGGCGAGGTTGGCGTAGAGCCAAGGATTTAGTGGTGCCTGAGGGAAAGTGTACATTAGTACCATCCACCTGGCTTCGGGAGTGATCTTTAGACTTGCTGTAAACAGTGTTTAAACCAAGTTCAGGGATTCTTTGAGGCCCTTTGACTTGGCAGTTTGTACTTTTTCAGCTGCTACTTGCTGTGACCAACCACTTGCCTTAAACCATACCTGCAACTTCCTCAAGTTTGCTCGGCCCGCATTGATTCTAGTTTTTTTTTTTCTCCGGAACCCCAGGTTTGCGCCCGAGACCCAGATTTGCGCCTGAACCCTGCTTCAGCTAGGTGCCAGGAGAACAGCCAACCGATGCACATCGTTTTCAGCTTTGATTTACGGTTGAGTGCCGGTATTTCCGCCTGGAGCAGAGGGGCACCTGGGTACAAGATTTCCTCCATCCACCGTATCATAGGTTTACCTATGGGGCTGCATCAGGTTCTGATAGGGTGTGGTACTCACTGTCTTGGACTGTTTCCAGGGTCTAGGGCATTACAAGCGACCCCCTCAAGGGACTACAGGATTTAAAGTTATGTCCTGGATGTTACAGGATGATGTTTCATCCGGCCCGTAGACAAGCAAGGATCCGAAGACAAACTACATCAAGCAGGCACTGTTTCCAGCTTGAACATTTCGGGCGCAGCGTGTTAAGAACATCTTCAGGCACTTTTTGTCCCGCTCTGCCCTTTGAGATCGAAAGTTTTGAGAGGTTCCCGGCTGGCCCCCTCCGTTGAAACCAACATCCGGGCTTCTTCTGATTGCCATGAACTGTGGATCTGTCGCATCCATGTCTCATTCGTAATTCCCCTTGTAGGTGGCGTCCGTCAAGGCAATCTTGGAGGCTTTGGTGGATGAGACAGCGAGAAAGTGGGAACAGGCGGGTGGTGGCCCGGATGTAATTCCCAATCACATGATAGCTGCCATTTTCTTTTCCAGCCCTTCATTCCTTACTGTCAACTGGCAAGTCGACCCTATGCCTATACCTTGTCTTCTTATATATCCCCATTAGCCCTCGGTATCCATTAGATTCCCCATCATCATTACCTGCAAGCAAGTAGCAGCAGTATTCGGGTGATATGCTACATATCCTCATGTAACCCCTATATAACTACCCTATAAGTAGTAGCTTCCATGTGTTGGTCCATCTGATTTCCATGAATTCACTAGAAGCAAATAGCAAGATGAAGAGGTCGCGCTACCAGCACAGACTGGGCAGTACTTCCGTCACTTCCTCCCCAAGCGACTCCCTGGCAAGTCTCTTGGCACGCGATTAAAGAGGATACATGAGGGTTATATAGGATGATATAGGGGAGGATATATGGGAGCATATGGGATTATGTCGGGCTGTAATGATGGGTGGCATGGGGATATGTATGTGTATATATATATGTATATATATATATACATATACCCGCATCCGTTGCCGAGACTCACAGCACTGCCACGCGCGATGGGCGCTTGGCGTGGTTTGGGCTTACAGGGCAGCCTGCGTCACGCAGCCCAGGTTTGTAGAATTCCGTCTGCGTGATAGTTAGCAGCTTCCCTACAGCAAGCTGTTTAGGAACTGTAAGCTCACTCAGGAAGTTTGGTGCAAAGGTTGTGATACAACCTGACCAAGCTGCAACATACGCTGTGAACATCAGAAAAGAGTCAACTAGGATTTGGAAGGGAACCGCTGGAGTCGTAACAGTGACTTGACAGATCTGAGCTGGCCCTATGTGAGAGGGAAAACATCATAACAAATATTTGAATCTCTCACTTGCTGAACTCTCCCGTTTTGTGGCCTGCATGCCGCAATACCCCTGGAGCCCGCCTAGAAGTGTCAAGCTCGGAAGGTTCCATGTCGATGAAGCAGCAGACCTTCTCCACGTTTTCGGCAGCGCAGGAAGCAGACTGGGACTTTGCATTTTATTCATATCTTGTCGAAAACGAGTAATTTTCGGGCAAGGTGGAGTCTTACAGCCAGGGTTAGTTCAAGATAGCCGCCCAGGGTCCTCGAACTCCCAAGAGGATAATTACTATTCTGTTGAGCCACTGTGTAGGATGGACAACACCTGCCCGGAGGAGAGAGGCAGCGGATGAAAGCTGTGCTGGAGGATCTGCAGCAGGATGTGATCACCAAGCGGCTTCAGGCCCCCTCGGAGAGCATAGATTTGAGAAAAGCATTGTAGGAGATGAGGAGGTGAGCTCATGGGAGGGTGTCCATAGGTGCCACGCGAAGACACAATTTGTGGGAACGTTCAAGGTTGGGTGAGCTTCGCTCGCGTTTCGCGCATATTCCGGCAACTAGCACTCCCCACGGGCTTCCCTGAAGCTCCACGTATGTGGGGAAGACGTTTTCGCGCATCATACCGGGATGGATGAACCGTTAAGCCACGGAAGGTCGACGATCCCGGTGTGCGCAAGCTTCTGAAGAATCTTGGCTAGACGAAGTGGCGGCTGCCCGCTAGCCCGAGCATTTCTCATGCTCGTGCTTGTAATTAGAGCAGGGATCAAGTACCCAGTCTTGATGCAGAAGGCTTGCTAAGGTGACTCGTATGTTCTCTTATCACATGGTTGCACACCACCTTTGTGGGGCAAGTCAGGTTTCATCTGCGGGTCTGGATTTCTTTTTCGGCATAAGCATACGTTGGTCATCACAGGGGACTTGTGGAGAAGGAGCTCCTCTATCTAGTTTGTGAGCAGAGAAGCAGCAGGACGGCTGAGGCTGCTCCCGGCACTGCACGTAGAACCACGTCACCGCACAAACGCATCAGTCCTCAAGACCAACACCAACATCAACTGTGTTAGCAGCCGCATGTGTAGCCTCAATCGGGGCACAGCTCTGTAGTCGAGTCTGTACATTATCGTTTCGGAAGCTACCACGAATAGCACGACAAGGACGCTTAACATTGCTACTAGTACCTGTTGATGCTGTTGACATTGAACGGGCAATTCTGCTGGTGCTACTCTCAATTAGCTATTCTGACCAAGGAAAGGCATGACGTTGAAGGACGGCAGCTGTGCCCTATGGGCCTGGATGCCACCTTCTGTCTTGGGGACCTTGCCCTTCTGGAAATCTAGCTTTGTCCTGATGGGTGAGGAGCTGTGCCGCGACACCATCGTCCAGGTGACTGTTGGAGCAGATGTTGACAGCCAGGCCTCAACGCAGTTCGAGGAGGGGTTTGTGAGTTAGGGGTATTGTGGGCCGGTGACAGCTCTGATGCTCGGCACATATTAAGTCAGCATCAATGCTCGGTAATTTTGTGCCAGCAGGCTGTTTCTGGTTGCTGGTCTGCCAGTGCACCGCCAGCGCCAAGCTTTCTTTACCACCACCACGGGGCACAAAAAGACAAAAACACTCACCTGGGATGGCGTTGAAGCCAGAAGGCGTAACACAGATTCCCCTGGATAAAGCTTGCCGGACGTCGATTGCGGTTTGAGTCTCATGAAGCAGCAGGCCGAGTAACGTAGAAGCTGTAATTTTGCTCTTTCAAAGTAAAAGACGGGTAATATACCACCTGGTACCCCAAACATTTAGGCCT